AGTGTATTGAGAGGTTCTATGGGCAGCTGTACACGTCATCGTTGGAACCACACGCAAGTGTGAGTAACGATCCAATAGCGAGTCTTATCTGACACTATTCCGTAGATATCCCGGACGTCAGTTTGAGCGAGATTAGAATGGCTCTCCAGCACCTTAAAGACGGCATGTCCCCGGGCGATGATGGAATTACAGCGGAGCTTTTTAAAGCGGGTGGAAAACCGGTACTTGAAGTCTTTCAGAAGGTCTTCAATTTCGTCCTCAATGGTGGCACTACTCCGGAGGCGTGGAGCAGAAGTGCGGTGGTCTTTTTTTTCAAGAAAGGCGACAACGCTCTCTTGAAGAACTACAGACCGATTTGCTTTCTGGGCCGCGTCTACGTGCTGTTTCCGAGAGTCATTACGAATCGTCTCGCACGCAGACTTGACGACTTTCAGCCTCCCGAACAAGCCGGTTTCCGAAAAGGCTTTATTACCATGGACCACATACATACCCTGCGGCAGATTAAACTAAGACAGAGGAGTATAATCTGCCACTTCGCCTTGCGTATGTGGACTATGAGAAAACCTTTGATTCCGTCGAAATTTGGGCGGTGCTGCAGTCTCTTCAGCGGTGCCAAGTTGACTAGCGGTATATCGAAGTGCTGAATTGTTTGTAGAGTAGAGCTACGATGGCTATCCGAGTACAGAATCAGAGTACGAAACCTATCCAACTCCAGAGAGGTGTAATACAGGATGACGTTATATCCCCGAAACTCTTTACCGATGCATTGGAAGACGTTTTTAAGCTACTGGACTGGAAAGGATACGGTATTAACATCAATAGCGAGTACATCACTCACCTTCGATTTCCCAACGATAAAGTCCTTATGGCCGAATCGCTGGAGGACCTAAGCACTATGCTCAATGGCCTCAATAGTGTCTCCCAACGGATAGGTCTTAAGATGAACATGGACAAAACAAAGATCATGTTTAATGTCCATGTCACACCTATGCCGGTAGTTGTTGGGAGCAATAAGCTCGAAGTTGTTCACGAGTATGTTTACCTGGGACAAATAGTCCGACTAGGTAAGTCCGACTTCGACCGAGAGGTCAATCGACGGATTCAACTCGGCTGGGCAGCGTTTGGGGAACTACGACACATCTTCTCGTTAGACATACCTCAAAACCTGAAAACGAAATTGTACAAACAGTGCGTGTTGCCAGTGATGACAACTGTGGCAACAGTGAGACGTGGTCCTTCACTGCTGGCCGTATGAGGAAGCTAATGGTCGCTCAGCGAGCTATGGAGAGGGCTATGCTCGGGGTTTCTCTGCGTGATAAAATTAGAAATGAGGATATCCGCAGTAGAACCAGAGTAACCGACATAGCCCAACGGATTAGTAAGCTGAAGTGAAAAACCGACAGCCGATGGGGAAGAAAGGTTCTCGAGTGGCAGCCTCGTACCGGTAGGCGAAGTGCAGGGCGACCCCCCACTAGATGGAGTGACGACCTGGTGAGACATGCAGGAAGTCGATGGATGCAGGTGGCTTAGGACCGTGCTTTGTGGCATTCTTTAGGGGAGGCCTATGTTCAGCAGTGGACTTGTGAAGGGCTGTTTTGATGATGATGATGACTACTACTTTATCACTAATTGCTGACATTATAAAATCAATATATATGTAGCTTCCCCTAAAATTTTTATACGCATGTAGTGGTTTACTTAATTAAAATCAATAATTAAAAATTTTAAATTTTGTAGTACTTTTGGATAACTCTTAAACAATTGGGTAAACCGTGATCAAATTTATATGCGACCACATGAGTAGCACCAGCTTTCAAATAAAAATAATCATTGAAATCTGTTCACGTAGAATAAAGTTATGATGTAACACACTTAAAAAAAACATACAGTCGAATTGAGTACATACTACTTTTTAAAGTCTGTAGAAAATATATTCTCATAGTACCAATCTGGTAATAATGATTATCATATAATGTATGTCGCTTCATTTACGCCAGTACGTCTGGCAATATGTAAGTATGAGGTAGTATATAGTCCACGATAGACGTCTGGTACTACCAACGTCAACCCGCCCACCAAGTTAAAGCAAATCCTCCCTACAAAGATAGAGGCTTCTGTCCAGCAGTAGGTATTAATAACGGACTTACGTAGAGAAAAAAAGATAATGCCTAGTTCAACTGTAATATTGAAAATTTTAAGGGTCGTTACCGATCTTGTCAAACAAATAGAACTACTACGTGAAATAAATGGGAAAGCTACAACTTGAAATAAAATAAATTTATCAAAGGAGTTTTAATGATATCCTTTGTTGTCGGATCAACTACATAGTTGGATTCCAATGATTTGTTTGTAAGTTTCACTATCAATTAATGACCCAAGAACATATAATGGTGAAACGAGTTTCTTTGTACAAATATTTAGAACGCAATCTTGATACAGTTACCACATTTAATGTCAACGTGTATTACACGCACACACTTAATAATGCTGATCGAATTTTATTGTACATTCAGTACCAACGGAATCTTCTTACGCATAAAATGAATTTGAAAGAATAAGTGTTTTTCCTTTAATCATGCTTGAAAGGCTGGACAGGTTCTAATAAAATTTGGTACAGAAGTCGATTAAGAGGTAGAATGGGACATAGGATAATTTTTATAATAATTATTACTAAAGTTTTATAAGCCCAGCAAAGCGAGCGGATAGCGGCTATTATCCTTAATTTCATAAGTTAGCCTCCTAGAAATATTTAAAGTAGGTAGTACTATAATTCTTATTCTTATCTTGTTCTATGACAACGGTTAAATATAAATTGTAATTAAAAAAAATCACATTTCTCTTACACAGTAAAGAGAAAAATTAAAAAATGTTTTCTAAAAATTTATGTATATGGGAGCATCACTGAACAACTTATTTAATAAAAGATGAATAATTTAAATCGGTTCAGCTTTTTCCGAGAAATCAAAATCAAACAAAAGAGCCTCCTTGTAGAACTCAGTTACAAAAAGGAATATAATTCTATTTATTCTAGTTCCTACTCATTTTAAAACACCGTTTTTTTATACTAGTATTTGTGAAATTTTAAGTATTTACTCTTTATAACTGTTAAGAGAAAGGTTCTTATGTGATAATTAAATGTGGCAAATGAAACCGGAATATGCACTTATAAAAGAATTAAGAAATGCCTAAGTTATTGATGAATAGATTAATATACAATTATATATAATCCATTTAGATAGAATGGGAATAGCTACGTACTTTAACTGTCTATCTTCTCAAGTCTACCAACATCCTTATTCATTTCGTCTTTCTCAGGGTTGACTGGTAGAAAATGTCTTAGGGCATTAAGTCCGCCCTTTGTAACTCCAAGTTGAAGGACAAATAAATAAAAAACTATATTGTTCGACATGTCCTGTGAAAATATGTGTATGTTGCCCTTAAGCAGGTATATTAAAGTAAGCACACATTATTTTTCTATACAAAACAGTTATACTAATTCATAATCATCATCATCACTAGAGCCGTATGCCAGAAGAAGCATAAAAGCAAGTTGAATGCAGTGGAGATGCGCTCTCTTCGTAAAATGTGCGGCGTTACCATGGCCGACCGAAAGCGAAACGAAGAGATTCGCAATATGGCAGGTTTGAAAGATGACCTTATCACAAAAATTAATAAGGACGTGCTTCGGTGGTTTGGGCACGTTGAGCGAGTGAAGACCGAATGGTGAAGAAAATATATAGCATGAAAGTTAATATTAAAAGGTGTCGAGGTAGACCGAGACTAACTTTCGAAGGCCATGTGAGCAAATTGCTCGAAGAGGGTAGGGTCAAGAGTACTCGGATACCTAGACGTGCATGTATGAAGAAGATAATGAATCTGAAAGAAGCGAAAGAGGTACGAGTATGTAAGGATCGTGACACTTGGCGATCTGTTCTCTCTGGCTACCCCATCAGGGATTGAGCGAGAAGATAAGCGATCATCATCATCATCACTAGAGCCTTTCACAAGCCCACTGCTGTACATATGCCTCCCCAAGGAATGCCACAAAGCATGGTCCTGAGCCACCTGCATCCATCAAATTCCTGCATGTCTTACCAAGTCGTTACTCCATCTAGTGGAGGAACGCCCTACACTTCGTACACAGGCACGAAGCTGCCTCTCGAGAACCTTTTTCCCCATCGATTGTCGGTTCTTCGAGCTATATGGCCAGCCCATTGCCACTTCAGATCACTAATCAGTTGGGCTATGTTGGTCACTTTAATTATCGGATATCCTCATTTCTAACTGTATCACGCAAAGAAACTCCGAGCATAGCCCTCTCCATAGCTCGCTGAGTGACCTTGAGCTTCCTCATCCGGCCACCAGTGAAGGACCACGTTTCAGTTTCATACGTACATAATTTCCCGAACGCTGCCTAGCCGAGTTGAATCCGTCGATTGACCTCTCGGGCGAAGTTGGACTAACATAGTCGAGGTATTTGTCCCAGGTTAACATACTCGTCAACAACTTCGAGCTTAGTGCTTCCAACAACTACCGGCATAGGTGTGACATGGACGTTATATATGATGTTTGTTTTGTCCATGTTCATCTTAAGACGTATCCGTTAGGAGGCACTATTGAAGTCACTGTCGTAAGGGCAATATCGTCTACAAATCGAAGGTGAGTGATGTACTCATTAAGACGGTACTCATAACTTTTTAATGGGTAAACCGATTTTAATTATTATTTTTTTATTTGAAAGCTGGTGCTTCACAAGTGGTTCCATAAAAAATTTGATCAAGGTCTGACCTCTGACCTCTTTTGAGTTATTCTTAATAATTTATATCGAAGTCAGCTGTACAAAATTTTTAATTTTAAATGATAATTGCTAAAACTTTAGTATATACATGATCATCATATCCTTCTAAAAATTACTTATTATGTCTACTAAACATTATAATATGTATACCTATCAGTATAATATGTTAAACATAATAATAACATTTAATCCATTTACTTACAGCACGATGAGTGACAAACGAAGTCCGTCCTTGAAGTCTTGCACTGATTTTCGCTGGAGTATCTTCATCTTCTCTTTTTGGGTCAAACCATCCAAATGCTGTTCCAACTACCAAAACAGCGCCTAGGATCATCAGGGCCAGAAAGCCACCAATTGCAGCTTTTGTTGCCTGAGATATTACCATCGCCATTGTCACTGCGAATTATCACCGCTGCATCATTCTTGAACTAACATGATTCCCCACTTCTACTTTTTAATGCATTCACAAAAAATAACGGCAGAATGTCTAAAGAAGAAAATGAGCGTAATGCAAGTTCAGTTCCCAGTTCAATATCGTAGTTTTTGTCACTCACTTTAATAATAGTATGTTTCATAGCTAACGTTTATAGATAAGATCCTGTAATTAATTTTATGAATAAAATTATTAATTTATAGGTATACATATAATTTAGTACGTGAGGGTAGTATGGTCATCTGATTAATATGGTCACTTTCTTATAACTCAATAACTACGGCCTTTTTTGCATAGATTGCTCTCTGATACGATAGCTCTTCATCAGCCAATCAAAAAATAAACGGTCAAAAGGGCGCTACTTTATCGACGCCATTTTGACAGTTGACATTATAGTAAATATTTTAGTCGAATTTAGTACTGTGTAGTGTAGTTCATTTTTTAAGTAGATTTTTCTAAGTGTTCTTAATTATTTCTAAAGCTTGTTTGCTATTTTTTCTTAATGTATTAGTTATAGTATACAACTTTGTGTTTTTTGTCTCTGTAGTCCTCCTAGTTTTGGTTTTATATTACCCAACAAGTACCTTATAATTTACGTTTTATATTTATTATATTTAAAAAGTTATAAAAAATACACACATATACGTATTCAAGAAAAGAGCCTACTCTGTTTTAAAAGACCGGCAACGCATCTGTAATTCCCCTGGCGGTGCTGTTGTACATGGTCTGCGGTAATCACTTACCATCAGATAAGCCGCATGCTCCTTTGCTCTCTGATTATTATTATAATATTATATAAAGAAAGTCTTCTAAATTGTTCCTTATTTATCATTTTAAAGCTTGTTAATTAATATCTGACGGAGATAATACTGCAATTTTTTTTAACTTGAAAACATTGCCGTCCATTTATTAATGTGAACCTTGTTATAAAGGTCAATAGAAAGATAATAATATGTATGTTGATAGAGCTACAGTGCTTGACAACAAAGCAAATACGGATGCTAATAGTCTACACGGTTATTACAATCTACGAAATACGAACATGTTGTCTTAAAACCGCAAGGAGATATTAGAGAGTGAAACTTTCAACGATTAATTAAATCACTTGGCGTGATTTTAAAATTTTTAATAAGCTGAAATTCTGTTTCCATTTTATTTTCTTTAAATGTGATATATTTCAAGTGACCTTTTAAAGAGTTGAAGTAACTAATACCTTAAGTAATAATTTAATTGTTGTGTGCGGGCGGCGTAAGAAAATCCAGTACCCATTTGTTGCGTGGGTTTCGTAAGAGACGGGAAGGTCAAACAAACATTAAAGATTTCGATAGAACATGGTAAGGCCACCTTCATCACCTTTAAACTAGACGTAAAATACCTGAACAAGCGATGGGCAGCTGAATGAAAGGTGCAAGGCGTCTGGTATTGCGATTTTAAATACGCCTGCCAAGCGTAACGATTACGGAAAATCCGCCCTATATTGTGAGAGGCCCATATCCAGCCGTGCGTACTGAAGTAGAAGAAAAATAAGAAACAAACATTTATCCCCATACATCACTCCAGAACTTATCTAATTCTATTAATAACACAAACACGAATCTTGTTGTTATATATAATCAGAGCAAGTCTTTCTTTTTCATAAAATCCTAATAAAACTCACAACATTATTGTTGAAAATATCTATATGATTTCCAAAATTATTTGAAATAATTTATCACCAATTGCTAGGGATGGAAATACCTGACAGATCTAGGATTACATTTTTGCCAGAAGCTTTCTAGGTTCTAGCTCCAGAAATCCAGTAGGAAGACGATTGTGGCAGCATCTTCCTTACGACGCTTGCGCAATACGTTACCCATTCATACTGTAATATTACTATCTTAGTATCTGAGTACTATACTTGATTATGTCGATGCAAGCGATTCTAACCTTACTAAGGAATAATGAGAGAAAATAATGATCATAATATTTGGCCTTCGCAAAAGTGATCATGTTTCCGAGTTTCGCACTAAGCTCAAGTGGCACCCTATTATTTAGACTTCGTCGGAATACTCATATTCTATCTCTACTACTACTGTGTATTATTTGATCCGAAAGCACCAAAGTAACATAAAGAAATAATTGAGTACGTAGGCGCAAATTAACATCATTCCATACTAGCTAATAACCTTATTTTACGTTTGCTTACAACTTCTTTTTTCATTAATAATTTTGTGTTAAATCAATGAAATTGTGGAATTTGTTTTGGAATTGAATTCGCTTTAAAAAAGAACTTCGGAAGGAGTTTATTCAATAGCGCATTGATTAATTTAAAAAAATACACACAAATACTCAAGCCTGTCACCCAGAGGGATAGGCAGCGACTACGGACTTCCATTTGGCGCGATCCTGACACACCTCTCTCGCCTCCTTTACATCCATATATCTACGCATACACGCTCGTCGGTTAAGGGTACTCCTAATCTGGCCCATTTTTAATGTATCGCCGATTTGGTCGATAAACCTTCGTCTAAGGCGTCCCTTCTCGACCCTGCCGTTGACTTCTGCTACTTAAATTTGCTTTGTGACTCTTTCCTCGTTCATTCTTTCTACAAACTATCAAACCACCGAAGCATTCCTTTCTTAATCTTTGTCACAACGTCACCACTTTTCTCTTATTACACTATTTCTCACCCTGTCATTCAGATTTAGGCCTAGCTTACTCCTTAAGGACCGCATTTCTACAGCATTTATTCTACTCTCATGCTTCTTCTGCCAGAACAAACTTTCACTACCATAAATTAAAGTAGGGACTAACACAGCTTTATGAATTGCCATACGTGCCTTATTTGACACATTCTTACTCCTCATAATAGCGTATATAGCCCCATTTACTCAATTTCCTGCGTTCACTCGTCGTTCTATATCCTTATCATATCTACCATTCCTGCTAAATACACATCCCAAATATACAAACTCATCCACTTGCTCAATCAACTCCCCTTCTATTCTTATTTCACATAGCGTTTTACTTTCTTCTCTTTTAAAAACCACCACTTTTGTCTTACTTGCGTTCACTTTCATACCCTTTTCTTTCAATGACCAGTTCATTAAAGTTCATAAAAAAAAATATAGAAATAATTATTTCAATCCCCGTTCTACTAAATAAATTTTGTTAAGTCTTATCTACTTTCTACTTCTCTTCAATGTCTGTTTATACATGATGTATAATAGAAAATTACTACTTTTATACGTCCCACAGCTGGGCACAAGCTTGCTTTTATTTCTGAGAAGGTTTATGGAACAATTATTCCGCAGTGCTGCTGCAATGCATCATGCGGGCTTTGCATGTCCGCAAAATATTTTATTTCTTAAATATGCAGGATTTCCCCGATGTTTTTCTTCAACGCCAATCACGTGGTAAATAGTCACAGTTTAAAATTGCTATTAATAATTATTTGGTGCCGGCGGGGATCGAAGCCGGATTGCTCAGGTACTGTGAAATTTACAGCGAGCGCTTCTAAGCTACTACAGCTCTATGATGCATTTATTTATTATTATATTTAGATGTAATATTTATGGTTGTCTTTTTCTCTTACATTCTTATATTCTGTATGTAGCTTATATGTTTGTAATAACACTTCTATTTAAGTTTTAGTAAAAATAATCTCCTGGACTCACTGTAGGGTCGCTGTGCGGCCTATGTGATATAAAGGTGTCATGTCGCGCGGTTCAGACGCGTGATATACGTGGGTAAATCCGCAGGGTACAGCTAGTCTATAATAATTCAGTAAACATTATTTTTTAAAACCAACCGCATAGTTTAATATTATTTACATTTTTCTATTAAGTTTTTTAACCGTATAAAGTTAGCTGTGACTAAATGAAACAAAGAACAAAAAGTAAAGAAACTCGCAAATCAAAAAATATTTTAAATTGAATTTTTGAGTAAATAACGTAATTTTAAATTTTTTCTTGAGACTTAATTAATGTCAAATTTAAATAACAAATAACTTTGCAGTCATATCAATTCCGTAAGTATAAAAGTTGTAAAAAAAAATAAAATTTGCTATTTACATTGCGTTCGAAGTCAATCTATTTAAAATTGACGATGATACTTATCTTATATTTATGTCAATAGAGGCATTTATAAGTAGTCTTTTGTGATATCAAGAGCATATTATATTTTCAATTCGGTAAATAGAAGGTCTTACGAATAAAAATAGGTAAATCCATTTCTGGTTATTGAAAATTTTACAGCTTAAAACTCATAATAAATTATATTGAAACAATATAAACCATAATAATACATAATAAAATGAACATAATCAAATATAATACAAAATTAATATTAATAAAATCAAAAGTATTACAAATCAATATGTACAGAAAAGAAAATTATACTTTTATGTGCTATAATAATCGTAAGTGCTAGTGCTTATTTCTTCTAATACATTTAAACTAAGCCACGTATGAAGCTTTTGCGCGTAATAATTAATATAAATATAAAAGAACGAAAATTTAATGTGAATATAAGAAATAAAACGTATATAATTGACTCTCGAGTGACTTTGTAATAATGAAAGATAATAAAAACAAACTCCTCGCTAAAACCATCAATATTACATTAATTGTGGCATATTAGATTTTTATGCCATTAAATGATAATTTAAACCAACAAAATCGTTACAGCCTATCAAAAGTCCACTGCTAAACAGCAGCAGGCGGGTTGGTAACCGTAATTGTATATTATATTTATTTGTTATCTGGAAGATGCTGCCTATTTCCTGTTTAGTTTTGTAGTGGATTCTCTTATGCCGCCTGCATAATAATTATCAAAATATATTACAAAATAGAATCAATTTTAAGCTTTCTTAAAATCGCAAGTAATGTTCACGTAACGCGGCAATATGTGTAATTATACTACACTTTTATGTAGCCTACTCTTTTTTGAAAGACCGGCAACGCATCTACGAATTCCC